GTTTATGGCCATTTTACACACATTTTGCAGAAAGAAAAATGGTATATCAAATCATTCTGTTATAACATAGTTGAGAATCCTCTTTATACAAAGTTTAATAAAAAAAAAAATCCTGAAAACTAAAAATGTATTGGTGATTAAAAAAATCTATTGTTTTTGCCTATGCACGTTCATGTCTTTTTATTTAATTTTTTTAATTGAGTCCCGATGTCCTCTACCGAGGACATAGCATAACTTATGAATGAAATATCATTTTTTAAATTAAAAAAAAAAATTTTTTTTTTAATGCTCTAAACAATGTAAAGACATGAAAAAAACTATTTTTTTCCTAAAAATCTTCACGGGTCTTAAGAGGTTAAAGGGGTGGTTTATTGCGATTTCACTTTTTTAATGTTAGTTAGTGTCTAATGTTGCTGTTTGAGCATAAACAATATCTGCAAAGTTACGAAGCTGAAAGTTCAATGCAAACGGAAGAGATATCGTCTTTTAAAATTATGGCAGTTTAATGCCTACAAATACGGCTCGTAGGGACTACAATGAGCTACTTCCCGGGACCCTCACACAGACTCCTCCAAAACATGCTGCTTCTGCGACCATCTCTCACCATATATGTGACCCTGGACCACAAAACCAGTCATAAGTGTCAATGTTTTAAATTAAAATTTATATAATCTGAAAGCTGAATGAACAAGCTTTCCATTGATGTATGGTTTGTTAGGATAAGACAATATTTGGCTGAGATACAACTATTTGAAAATCTGGAATCTGAGGGTGCAAAAATTCTAATTGATTTAAGTTGGTTTTTATGGCATTTTTAAAACACACTCGCATGCACACTGCGCTCGTGCAGATTAAGTCATCATTATTATGAGAAACTTAAACCCCCGGAACTTGATTTCAACCAAGGGGGACCTCAAGTTAATGCCCATTTAAAACTCATTGATCTCATAGTATTATTTATGCAATTGTAATTCATGCCACCTCTGATGCAAACAATGTTATGGCCACATAGTAGCCATAAAAGAGTATTTGTAATAAATTCTACTTTTAATCCGATTTTTTTTTTTTTTGGTAAAATAACGATTACCATCTAAAAACAATATAACCTTCTGTCGTAGAGTATCCTGTCATGAAATCCACAAAAAAGTGTTTATTAAATGCCAGTAGATAAGTAGGGGGTTTAGCCTACATGTTTATAGTGAAGTAAAGGAAAACCAGGGGCACCGCTAGCAATTTTGGGCCCTATGAAAGAATATGAGGTTGGGCCCCCTACCGCACCAAACATACACTATATATATATATATACTGTATATACAAAAAAAACAAACACTTTGCACTCAGTGCAAAAGAAAAACAAATTGCTACAAGCAGCAAATTAGTTTCAGATACCAGCAGTATGCCCCCATCTTTCCTTCCCTAAGGTTCTATGTAGACTGGCTTATATAACCTAGGACAGGCTCATTACCTCCAGACCACACCACCTGCAGGGGCATTAAAGGGTTAGTTCACCGAAAAATGAAAATTAGCCCTTAAATTACTCACCCTCAAGTCATCCTAGGTGTATATGACATTCTTCTTTCAGACGAATCCAGTCGGAGTTACATTAAAAATGGTCTTTGATCTTTCAAGCTTTTTAATGGCACTCAGCGGATGTTGCAGTGCATCAGTCCAAAAGAAGTGAAATAAAAAGTGCCCATCCATAAAAAAGTGTCTCACAAAGCTCCGGGGGGTGAACAAATGCCTCCTGTAGCGAATCAGTGCATTTTTGTAAGAAAAATATCCATATTCAAAACGTAATAATCACTTTAATGTAGCTTGCGCCAACAGTTGTACACTGAAGCAGTTCCGGGCTGATGATATATGAAGTAGTGATGTTACGTTCTGTGCCGAGGCTTCGGAGCGTGTGTCGAGAAATCCCGGCAGCTTTCAGTGAAGCACGTATCGAGGCCTGTATTGCTTTAGAGCAATGACGTAATTGATGACTTCCGAAACCTCGCTTAGCCAGACTGGTTCAGGAATCGGTTCGAATCTTGTAAATTCACAGTCCTCTGCCCTGTTAAACTCAGCCACTTTCCAGTTTTAGACTTATAATATTGGCCCTCCTCCCTATTATGAGCAAAGACTTGATTTACACACATTTGATAGCCCCATTCATTTCAAGCCAATACGTTTATTACACAGTTATGTTATATTATGTTATACAATCATTATGAAATACACATTATATTCATATAAATAGATTAGTCTATGTGGAAATTGATTTTTTTTACACATAGCGTCTCCCTGACATGGCTGCTTCAGCACTAACTGCGGTTACTGAAACCACCCCTTTCTTTCTTTGCGTGCACATTTGGGCCACATTATGCAAATATTTCTACATAGTGAGGTAGATATGTGGGGGCATGTTAGAACGAGCCGTTTTAGGGGGGCGTGGCAGAGTCTTAACTTTGATAAAGAATATCTCTTTGGTTTTGAGACTTTAGTCTTTGCAACTTCAGGGATCTTATCTATGCACAATCAGCTTGTAACACTCCAAAGAGAAGGGAAAACTTGAAATCGCATCATATGACCCCTTTAACATGGCCAATCCATCATCAGTAATTACACCATCTATCCAACCAGCACAAGAGAGAACCCCTATAAATAATCAAAGCAGTCTTACCTTCACTATCTCTAGTCTTTCAGCATTCGGTTCGCTCCTTTTGCCAATTTACCACAGACCCAATTTCCCGTCCAACGAAGAGACCTATACTGGGTATTTTTCGGATCCTCCGCCGCAATTTGCCGGCCCCAGGATCACTCCTTCTCCGCCAGACACTGCCGCCAAGCACCAGGCTTCATCGCGGCCACAGCTCTGCTCGACCAGCCACACGCTCTCCACGATGCAGAGGCTTAACCTCGCCTCCACGGTCGAGATTTCCAACTTCTCCGGCATCCTTGTATCATTCGGCCGTGCCAACAATTCATTCGATCGGGAAGTGGACCGTATTTAAGCCTGATGCAAACGCTGATTAATTCCTATGCTCCATTCTCGCGGAGGGTAAACAAAGCGGATCTGAATGATCTATTCGTCACCCTGAAATCAGTCTACCTCACTCCTAAATTCACTCCAGCAGGAGGCCATTCTCTCCCTGCTGTCCTGTGCTCTTCTCTCCTCTGTCTCTCTCTGGAGTTTGATGTCCTCCCTGAGTAGGTCCACCAGCTTCCACTCACTCCCTCACCTGTCCCAGGACACGTGCAATCCTAAGGCAGAGCAAATAAACCATGCCTGTTAACAACAACAGCACAATGAATTTCAGCAAAAATGTGTGTATTAACTTGCTTACTTTGTATTTTTAAGTTTTTCCCCAGCAGGATGATTTTCTCCAGAATAGTACTAAAACAAGAGAAAATGGAAACACTTATGAAAAATATGAAGACAGGATTGCAGTCTTAACATTAGAAAATATGACACAGCAGGACATGCATACAAAATACTGAAGTGCTAAAGTTTGGTTAAAACATTTGTAGACATAT